CATTCTTCACATTTCAGTCACAGTCATTAAAACATGTTGGGAAATATCCCATTCCCACAGGTAAAAGCAATAGTTATTAATATCACGGAAGACACATATACACACTTCACTAGGCGAGCACAGTAAATGGCGGCAAAGCAGAGCCCAGATAATGCCAACAAAAAAAGAGGAGACTCCCCTACATAATAATGGTTTGTCGTCTGATAAGTGCCATAGGGAGTCCAATAGATTCGTTCAGCATAAAAGTGCAAATAAAAAATCGATCAAACTGGAAAAGAAAAAAAAAGAAGGGCCAATATCCAAACAAGAAGAAAAGTGCCCTTACAATGCATCCATATCCACTCAAACAAAGATTAACTGTGCAGTTGCACCACGGGAACAACGATCAGCAAACGAGAGTGCAGCCCAGCACACACATTGAAACAAGAAGCAGCAATAAGGGACTGTGCACCAATGCAGGACTGCTGGTGCTGTCACTTAACTGTGTATTATCCAAATGGTTTGGAGCTGAAGAAGAAGAAGAATTAGTTGTTTCCTCTTCTTGCGATGGCGAGGATCCAGAAGCAGATGAATCACTGGGCTTAGGAGTGTTGTTCTGAGAGCTCTCATTTTCATCTGGCTCTTTATCTTTGTTTTGTTCTGCTTCCTTATCTTTTTCCGCTTCTTCTGCCGCATTCTTTGCCTTTTGAATAGCGTCTTCCAGAAGCTTCGCGGCTTCAGTCGCTGCTTCTGCTTGTTTCTGTGCATCGGCAGCTTCGTGCTTGACGGCTGTGGCATTGTTCTTCACCCTAAATGCGTCTTCCTTTGATTTTGCGGCCTCTTTATTGTTTATTTTGATTTCTTCAATATGGATCACATTTTCATCCTCTTCTTCGTCCTCTTCTATATCCTCCTCTTCGTTCTGGAGCTTTGCTAGGAGCTTCGCATATGCAGTAGTAGCACTATCCAGTTCATCAGCGGTCTTTATAAGTTTATCTGCGGCAACAGTAGCTTCATCAGCAGTTTTATTTGCCTCAAGAGCTCTGTTATTCACTAATAGTGCGGCATCAGTGCACTTTTTCACAAGTTCTTCGGCTTTCTTTTCATTCTCAGTGAAAAAAGTATCATAATCATCAATATTCTTTAATGCACTTTGAATCTCTTCGGCAAATTCTCTGCACTTATTCGCGTCACTCTGAGCACTTTCAGCTGCTGCGTTGCACTCTTCCTTTGCTTTGTTCATTAAAGAGGCCTTCTCTTCTGTATCCTTTATTTCCACTTTTATTATTTCAGCCACTTTTCTCATTTTTTGTAAAGTTTTTTTTATCTCAGATTTTGTTGAGGCCTTATCACCATTCGCATATGCCACACACGCACAACACTGCAGAAGTACCAACAGGTACACCATGCGGCGCAGTTGGACGAACATCGTTGTCATGATTATCACTGTGGGTTGCTTGGGTCTGTGGTAACAAGGAAGAAGAGGAAAAGGAGAAAAGAGACACACATTTAACACACAAGGTAGAGGGCACCACACACAAACAAACAAACACACTACAAAATAAAACCATAAAGAGGAGAAACAACAGTGCACAGAACGCAAGAACAGAAGCATCGTGGGGTTTGATGACGATTGGCCCAGCACTAGGAATGCAAATCATGTTGTGCCCATACACCAACAGAATTAAAACACCGCAAACACACACCGGTATCGCCCATACAGAAGGACAGTGAACACAGCACACAGCAGAAACCACAAGGGACCACATCAGCCCCACCGCAACTACACTGCCTCACCTGTCCCGCTGCTTTCATCTTGCCTCAGTGGGTATCCTGTGGAGCAGCATCGATTTATACAGCCGCCAAGGGACCTTTGTGATTGAGGCGTCCAATTATCCCTTTCTTTCCTTCTTTCTCTGTTTAGTGAATTATCAAAGTTTTTTTTTCCCCACATACCAATATGTACATCGTATCTATTGGACTAGAGATATTTACAGGAGAGTTTCACTGATAGAGGTATGTTCAACTGCTGTACACTGCCCTTGAAGACGGAAATTCACGAACAGGAAGAGCATTATGTAAAACAACTAAAATGATTTCTGTGTTAAATTAGTCTGTAGCTATGATTCTTCTATAGAATTACTTGAAGAAGGAGAAAAGAAATTCTAAAAATAAAAAAATATATATGACTTATCGTTCACTTTAAAAAATACTCAGTATCATCCCACTTAAGGGTATTTCCAATATATATTTCTTGCACTTATCGCTATTAAGCAACACCACTAGTATTTTTTCATATTTTTTTTTTTGTTTGGAATGAGCTTCACCATTCCATTCCATTCTTTTTTTTTTTATCATCTCTTTGTTTCTCCTCTTCTTTTTCTTTTTCCTTTTTCTTCTTCTTCTCTCTGTTGCTATTGTTGTTCTTGTATATACTCCCATCGTTGCACCATAATCTTCTGCACTGCGAGTAGTGCATTCTTCGCCACTTCTGGGTTTGGATGCGACATGAGTCCCATCACGCGTGCCTTCACACCGTCGAGCTGCGGGAGAAGCAACAGGGCGCGGCCCGTCGGGTGGTGCCGCACCACTTCGCCCAAATCATAACAGGCCACCGCGAGTGAAAGTTCCTGATGTGTTGTCATGATAATTTTTCCCAATGCCTGCAGCACCTCATAGCCGTTGCTGTCAAACTGCATAATGTTCTCTCGCCAGAACTTCGCACTGGTGTGCACGGGACTCCACTCCAGCACTCCACTAAGCACTTCACCGCGGTACTCTGAGAAACTCGTGAGTTTTTCCATACTGTGCTCCAAAACAGATTGTAACTCATTAATAATACCACCAATATCTTCATCGCCAAACTTTCTGCGGGAAAGTTGGGCGAGTGTTTTTAGCATACCAACACTAACCATCTCTGCTATGAATGCAGGGCCTTTGCCATTATTTGCTCGACCCAAATCATACATTTCCGCACTCACCCATTCCGCTACGGATGGGTTTGTTACGTGAGCAATATAACGACGTTCAGCCTCCACAATATTCCATAGTGCCATAAGTGCCACTCGAATACATTTTTCTTTTTGTAGTCTTTGTAAAACACGATGAAGGTGTGGAATCATCTTTTGTCGTTGTAGCTCTACTACACCAATATACTCATAAGAGAGTAACCAAGCAACCAGTAGGGTTTCATAAATAAGTTGAATAATACTCGCCGCATCACTTGCAACAATATCGAATAAAAGTCGTGGAAGAAATTCCACAATTTGGTTTTCAAAGAAATAATGACGTAATGATTTTTTCCTGGCTACAATAGCACATGCTTGAACGGCAAATGCCACAGCTGGTACTTCTAGCGTCTCTGCGGAAAGTATTTCTCGCACATGTGCAAAGAATCGCTGCAGTGCCTCTGTATTCTGCTCAGGCACTCCATACCGCAATGCCGTGGCGGCGAGAAAGAGTGCGGGGTCTGACACACCGCGATCCTCACGATACATAGTGGCAATGTAGAGAAAAAACTTTGCAGGTGCATCGCCAAATAACTTTTCCGCATCTTGCACACCAAGCTGCTCAGCTAATGAAGTAGATGAGAAAACAAGATCTGCAAAGAAGCGCAATACAAAACCAAGAATATGTGTTGAGTGAGTTTCTTTAGCTGCTTTAAAGAGTGCAACAGCAACAAGTTGTTGCTTACCTTCAATAAGTGACTGTACAAGATCACCGCTAGGAGGGCAGGTAAAGAGATGCTCCAATAAACGCACGGTAGACTCATCTACAATGCGCATCTCACGCACATGGCGGATTGTATCAACGGCATCTGGAGTGAGAGAAGACATTGTTATTCCTCTATTTCTTCTTATTGTTACCAACTACGGGGGATCTTTTTTTTTTCTTTTTCTTTCTTCCTTATTTTCGGTTTTGTTTTATATCCCCTGTTAACTACCAGTATTCAAAGTATGTATATATATAAACGTATCCGTATGCTTGGGTTGGCCAAGATGACGCTAGAAAATATGACGGTATGCGTAAATATTACTGTCACAGCTGGGATATGAAAAGAAAAAAAGAAAAAACGAAAAAAAAAGACGAGTTAATTCTTTTTGGTAGTGTATTTACAAAAAAAAAGAAAACAATAATAAAGTAGATACAAAATGAAATAAAACAATAAAAAAAAAACAAATAAACACATGAACAATATAATGTAAATATACCTTCATATAAAGGTTTCATTTTCTGGTGATTTTTCTCCATTTTATTGTCTTCTAGACATCTACTCTCAATCTACACACTGATGGTACACAGCGATACAATAACAAATAAACAACTTAAATATATATATAAAAAAAAAAAAAACAGTACAGTTTTTGTTTTATTTTCTTCTTGTTTGTTTGTGTGTGTTTGAATAAGAATAACAACAACAACAACACACACATCCATACAGTTTCCTGAATACAGAAAAAAAAAAAAATATTTTTTTTTTTTTTCTCTTTTTTTTAAAAAATTTCTAAGATAAGGCAAACAAAAAGGAAAGGGGCGATTCAGGAAAAGAAGAAAAAAACATTTATCCACAACACAATCTCCACAGAAACACACAATAAAAGAAAAAAAAACAAAGAACAAGAACGAAGAGAAAAAGAAAAAAAAAACAAAAAGAAAAATCGTTAACTACTTACCAGTTCGTCTTTGTTGAATGGCAGCTTTAAGTGCCTTTTGATTTTCTTCACGGAGTTGACGTAATTGCTGTAATACCTCCATCTTCTTTTTTGAAGTAGAATTGTTAGTTGAGGATGGTGTAGAGGGTGTGGTGATAGTTCCTGATACTCTTGAAGGAGAACCCCCATCTCCTGGAGTGGGAGTCGTCTGTTTTTTCTTTGTTCCTCTATTTTTAACTGATGTTGGCGGGGTCGTCTGCTCACTCACCACCGTACATATATCACTTAGCATAAACATATCTGCACTCCACTCACGTTTAGCCTCAACCACAGTAGCACCACCTTTTACCTCTGACAAATTATTATCAGTAGTTTTTTCTATCGGTGTTGCCTTTACACCACCAGTCCCAGTGCTTTTTCCACAAGGTGTTACAGTGAATGCATTATTCGATCGTTTTGGAACATTTATCTTTGCTGGGGTCTCAATTTTTTTCGGGGCAATTGTAGATATTGTGGTTTTGTTGCTACTGCTACTATTATTATTAATATTAATATTGTTATTCACATTGTTCTTGATATTACTACTACTACTACTACTACTATTATTTTTGGGTACTGTTACTGGTCGTGAAACAACTGATGATATCGATACAACAGTTTGCAAGTCAAAATTGACGTCTCCATCCTCTTTCCAAGTTCTCGTCTTTTCCAATTCAACAGCTGTTACCGGAGCTGCTGCTGTTGCCGCAACTGGAGTCTCATCACTACTTTGCACATTGGGAACTGGAGTAACATCAGCTACACCACCATTATTATGATGAGTAGAAGCTTTAACTGTAGTAGTAGCAGTAGCAGTAGTAGGATTTGAAGATGCAGGTGCAGCTGCATGAGGAACAGCAGTAACAGGTGTAGGAGTAGCAGTAGTAGTAACAGGGGCAGAAACCAAAGTAGAATTAGTAGTAGAATTAGCAGTAATAGTAGTAGTAGAACTCTTAGCAATAGGAGTACGAGGTTGTGTACTGTCAACCAATTTAGGTGTTTGACGTCTTTTCTTTTCATCTTGTGAGGAAGGCACCAATTTTGTCGTTTTCGCAGAAGTTTGAGAATCTAACTTTACAGATGTCACACGCAGCCGTGCATTCCGTCCTGGTGTAGTGGTACGAAGAGACTTATCTGCTGTTTTTTGACTGGCACGCACTACAGATGGCACTGCCAAAGTTGTCGCTACCTTTGGACGTACAGTTGGTATACCTTCTGCGAGTAAATGAGGTTCCAACTTCTTTACACATGAATCATCATATGCTGTTCGCTTAGGGGTTACATGTCTTGGTAAAAGACCCGCCTGACGTAGAGCAAAACCAGCACTCTGAGAGCGGGTTAGTTTCATTGGATTCCCTGTAGTTCCTGCAGTTCCAACATTCCTTCGCAATGGATCTAATAAGGATGAGTGAAGTATTACACCACTACGAGTCCCCGCAACTCGAGTGGTGGAGACAACAACTTTGGGTCGTGTAGTAGCAACGCCGGTAGCCACCGCACTAGCACTAGCACTAGTTTCCTCCTCATGTTCCATTCCTCCTCTTCCTCTTGTTGCCGACATTGTTTTAGCAGAAGCACTAGTTGTGGAGTGTGGTGGAGTGTCTAATAAAGATGCATGTGGTACAGGTGGGAAGTCACAAAAGAGCTCAAGTTTGGCACCACTTAAACCTCCAGGGACTTCTTCCACGAGAAAAGCATTCCAATCATCTTGCGTAATAAGAGAGATAGAGTCACCATCATGATCTCGGTAACGAATACGTAATCGTTGCCCAACCGGACGAGGTAACACTGCGGCCTGTTGCATACAGAATGCGTGTACTTTTTCATAAATTTGTTCAAAGGTAATATTCTCCGGTTCAGGTACACGCAATATACGTAATTGTGCCTCAAAGTGAACCTTTAGCTTTAGTGCTTCTACAGAACGCAGACATGCTTCTCCATCTTGAACTACTTTTCCTTTAAGACCAACTTCTTTTGCACGATCCAGTGTTGTACGAAGTTCTTGCACTCGTGTTGCACCAAAAGAAGGAAATTGACTGAGTGTTCGTGCAAATTGCCGAGCATGATTATTTGAAGATGAATTACTGGTATCATCAGCAGCACTACTGCAAGTACGGTTAAGTAGCGCTTGATCATCAAGACTTAGGACACGTTCAAGTTCAAGACGTACACGTTCTTGTAAAACATGTGAGCTAAAAGACTTACATGCAGATTGGTAGATAGCGGTTGTTTGTGTAGTCCATATCTGTGATGGTACATGTACCACATGAATTGTATTAGTGTCTACATGTTTTACAATATAATCACTTGGGGAAGTAACTTTTGTTTCTTTTAACTCGTTAAGAATAGCACTGCAACGAGAGACAACCTCCTTATTCATTTTTAAATCTCCAGCAATTTCAAGTTGTAAAAGAATATCATTTGCTTGATGAATAGCATGAAATAATGTCATAATATCTCCTACTTGAGTAGCGACTTGAAGGGATGATTCCACATTCTCTACCTGTTGCAAACGTATAATAAGTCGTTTACCTTGTTTTAATAATTCCCGATCTGCAGCTACTGTTAATTCACCAGCAGTTGCGAGCTTTTCAACGGCGCAAACACATTCAACAATCTTTTTTAACTCCGGTGACGCAATTGCCACACGGAGTGCATTCATACATTCTCGTCTCTTTTTTATTCTTTCACCAAACTGTGCGAGGGGTTCTTCTAGTTGTTCCTGTAGCAACTCTGAGAGTGTCTCACCTGGTTGTAAAATTTCACTAATGACAGCACTCTGTGTGAGTGCCTGTTCTCTGGCCCATTCGAGTGCTGGGGCGATATCATCATCTTTGACGGCCTTGCGTTTAGCCTCTTCCAGTAGAGTACGCCATGCGGCCATTGCGGGAAGCCATCGCTTCTCTACCCACGTCAAGAACGGACTATGTGGACGCAAAAGGGAATTAGGTCTATTATTATTATTATTCTCATTATTATTATTATTATGATTTGGACGGTGTTCTGCGAGGAGGGCGGTGGCGCGTGGGACGTCCCCGGTGGCGACGAGGCGTCTGAGTTCGAGGACCCCCGCGGCGGCCGCTCCCACCGCCCGCACCGCCCGGCGGCAGTCGTCGACGGTCTGGCGGCTGCCGGCGAAGAACTCCCGCACGTCCGTCACCGCGTGGCCGCCGTACCGCAACTCCACCGCGTCGAGGGCCGCCAGCACCGCCGCCGCCGCCTCCCCAACGCCGCGGTCCACGTCCGCCAGCGTCATGCCGCGCGAGAGCGACACGTACTCGAGTTTCGCAAACCAAATGAGAAGACTGTTCGCGCTGTCGTGCAGAGAGACGGCGAGGGAGCCCGGCGGGGAGCTCTCGCGAGGGCCGCCGTTGAGAATCTGCCGAGATGAGACAGAAGCGATCGGCACGGCGCGAATGGAGTCCGGCGGTATGGGCGCCCGAGCCCGGTGCAGAAGAGATGCCGTTACACACTCCACGTACGTGAGAATTCCCTCAAGTTCCTCCAATAAAGCCGAAGTCGGAGAGGAGCCGCCAAGGAACATCGCCTCTTTGCGCACCGGACGATGACCCAAAACAGGGGCATCACGCATTTCCTCCGCCGCAAAGCGACGTCCCATGTATTGTTGTTGGATGTTTTCCTTCTCTGTTGGCCGACCCACACATCCTCGGAGAGGTGTCGGGTATGTTGGGGGTCGGCTAAGAGGTAACGACGTAGCCGATGATCCTTCTTCGCTGCTCTCTGTCCAAGCACTGTCCCTTCTCAACATTTACCAGTAAAAACTGTAGTCAAAGTGCAAAGGAATCAGTAACAATGATAAGAGATAAAATAGAACGAAGAGAGGATGGGGGAAGTAACGAATAATAATAATAAAAAAAAGTCTAGAGAAGTAAATAAAACAAAAATGTTAAGAAAGATAAAACAGGGAAGGAAAAAAACCGAATAGCAAAAACAAAAGGTTAATTACAGATTAATTCTGTTTTCCCTTTTGCTCTTACTGCGCTATCTTCGTTTTCTTTCGTATCTGTACCTTTTGCTTATATCGGTGTTTCCCTGAATACAATACACAAAAAAAATTCACTTTATTATGTGATTCTTTTGTTGTCTTTGTTTTTTATTTATTTATTTATTTATTTCTTACCTTACTATTTTTTAACAAGGGAAATAAATAAATAAATAAAAAACGTTAAAGTGTACTAATTTACTCTACGATTAAATATAGTGTGAGAAAAGCAAATCGAAAAAAAAAAAGAGAAAAGGACAACCTCTAGTTCTAGTGAGGTGATCTCCTTTCAATAAAGGATTGCTATCTTTTCAGAAGATGATGATGAAGAAGAAAGGAAAAAAGGGGAAAAAGAAAGAAATAATAACAATAACAATAATAACAATTAGTAAATAAAAAAAAAAAAAGAACATGATATCAAATCATTTTTACTTGCTCATATCAGAGACCTTAAATGGTAAAAAGTAATTGAAAGTTGAAGAAAGGTTATACGTGTTAAGAAAGCCATCTCTGACTTTTCGTTCCTGGGATTTACCCCTTGAGAGAGTCAGTAGTTGACGCATATGGAAATAAATAAATAATAATAATAATAATAATAATAATAATAATAATAATAATAATAATAATAATAATAATAATAAACAGTAGAAAAAAAAATCAAAACAACAGATTCATCCACAATCAGCGATGAGAAAAAGAAAAAAAAACAAAAACAAAGAAATTGACATTGCAAGGAACATCAATAATAAAGTAGTAACTCCATTACAAGTCATCCTCTCTATTAAATTCCTTCACTCCTTCTTTTTTTCCTTCCACCAATGCTCCAACATTATTCCAGCTATTAGTAGAAACCCCAGTTGTTCCTCTATCTCTATTAGACTCATTGAGGAAGGCTAAATCACTCTCTGTAAGTTTAAAGGGCAACAACAGTCGTCCCAGTACTTCTCTTTCATTCTTTACACCTCGCCAAAACTCCAGACGAGCCTCCCACTCTGTAACGGCAAGACGATGAAGTGGTTTGATGAGAGAACCATGGAAAACATTACCTTTTGCTATCTTCTTATTATAAAGTGGACATGATACCACTACTGGTTCTCTTTGAGGAGTTGTTATTTCTGATGTTTCTGTATTCTTTGAAATATTTTCTTTCCCTTCAGTTTGAGAGAGATTCCCATTCTTCTCCCATACACACTCACCTTCTTGAATAAGATCACAACACATACTATAACCATTCTGATCAAATCCCTTGTAGTGAACTACACTATCGTTAAAAGCACGAAGCTGTAATGAAAAACGATAAATATCATTTTCCACTAAACCATTATTACTTTCAGTAGTCCCAAATTTATTCTCTTCTTCCATTTTAAACACTATTCGTATCACAGCATTACATCCAGGAACGAGCATTTTATCGTTCTCTTCAGCCTGTGTAGACTGTCCATCTATATTACTCATAGTAGTACTCTTCGCATGTGTACAGTTTAAGACCGCTGAGGCATTTAAAATACGAAAAGATCCAAACTTGCAGTTCTCCGCTGCGTTCATCGCTGATGGAGAAAAACGTGAAAGTGACCCAAATGGACGCATACAACGGAATGGTGTTAACGCCGCAGTTTCAGTAGTAGTATTATTATTATTATTAGTAGCATCCGCTACCAAAGATAGTGAACATCCAAATATAAAAAGTAACGAGATAAAAGTCACAAGGACATGAGAGAAGGTACACTTCATCTTTAATGATAAAAACCTCTGGAAAGAAAAAGAAAAAACAAAAAACAAAAAAAGTATTTCATGAGAATAAAGAGATCAGTAAAGTATTCACTTCACTTGAAATCACAAGTATACAGAAACATAAAATAACCTCACACATACACACAAAAAATAACCATATTAGATATCCAACAGAAGGAATTCATACTCAGATTAAAATAAATAAATAAATAAATAAATAAAATAAACACGTCATTACAATGTTGAGTACATTCATAGTAAGAAAGAGAGAGAGAGAGAGAGAGAGAGAGAGATTAAATATATATATATATATATATATATATATATATTCTTTTGATATGCGCACTAAAATTCAACCCAATATAATCCTTTTCGACACCGACATACCAAAACTACTAATATTTCCTCTGGCCTGCGGCTCTGCTCCTTCACTGGCATCACTCTCTGATGAATCTTCAATAGAAACACCTTGAAGTTCTACGGATACCACACGTTCCTTCGCACTCACTCCATCCTTTTCCATCCACACCACTGCAGAATCCATAATAGAAAAAACATCATCAATAAGACATTCCAAAACTGGTACTGTACGAATCCCCACATTCTGCACACGTAGAGGTAAAGTAGTTAAGCGAATAGGCATATCTGGAAGAACAGCCCATGATACCACAAAACAAAGTCTTTTATCTCTTGGAATCCCACCATTAACATTATTACCACTACCAACTTTGTTACTATTATTATTATTGTTGTTTCCAAACAAAGGCCGAGATGTCATTACTTCCCCTGATGCGTTTGGTGTTTCTATTATCCCTTCAGATTCCAATTCACATGAGAGAAACCCCAAAAGGGCCGCATCTGAGTCACTAAGAGAAACTCTCTCACCTTTTGATGTAAGGGTAAACATCTTAAATGGTGCCGTTTCAGAGAGAGAAATAATTTGTAACGATGCAGTTTCCGTGTCATTACTATTATTATTATTATTATCAGTACTATCACGCACTGTTCGAGTAACAAGAGATGCCTCAAAACCAATAATTGTATCTGGTAAATTAGAACGCTTCAAGGTAAGATAAAAAAATACAGCATAATTATCAGTGGCGAATCGATTTCCTCGTTGAAGTGTTACCAACATAGATTCTCCACCCGCTGAGGGACGTCGTGTTTTGTCCGTTGTAGGGGCAAAAACACTTGCGGTAGATCGAGACTTTAAAGAGGAGGATATAGGATTTTCCCTTATAGATACAGTATCATCACTATTACTATATTGATTTCTTTTATTATCTTGTGATAAAGCACTTTCTCGCCGATTTAAACGAGCCATATCTGATGAACCTCTACGGGTAGTTTTAGATATATTATAATTCTTTTGACCATTTGAATTATCTATTTCCTTTGAATTTAGTTGTTGTTCTTTCTTTCCTTTACTCTTGTCATTAATATTCTCATTCACACGTGTTGGATCAACTTCAGTAACAGGAATAATAGATTCGCCACAATTATCTTTTTTAGCTATAGGTGGACCTTTATTTTTATTTTCATCTCTTTCCAAGTTCTCTGCTTCATTTATTATGTCTTGTTCTAATTCATCTATATCCATTGGAGAGAAGAGAGAAGGTTCCACTTCCTGAAGATTCATCGTTTCAAATCCCACAGGTAAACTATTACTACCTTCTGAGTGTGTATCTGTGTGAGAGAAGGAGGGTTGTACTCCTGCTGCTGCTGCTATTCCATCATCATTGGTTTGCTGTACACTTCCTTGACGTTCTGTTTGTTCCTGCAATGCAGATGTTAAATACATAAATCGTTGTTGACATTGCTGTACAATTCCATTTTCCCACTTGAGAACACTTCTTAATAAATCATTCACCGCACGATGTTGTTCCCACACAAAACGATGAATAACACCTTTGGAGTAGGAAGGAATTAAATGTAATGTATTTTCTATTCGTCGTCGTTCCTCCTGCAGGGCATCTGCGATATTGGTTTCATCTCTACCGAGAAAAAGAGAATACGCCGCTCCCGCATCTTGCACTGAATTCATACTTTCCACTGGAGGGGCAATTCCACGCAATGCCTGATGAATACGATGATTGAGTTTCACAATGGGACGAATCACACGGAAGAAATACAGGGCAGATCCCACAATGGTTAACACGGCTGTCATGATAGAGCCATACAAGACACGTTGATGATGGGTGTTGAAATACAATAGCGGGATAAACAGCAGACAATAGGAGGCACCAAGGAGTAAACCTTCTATAATGGTGGTTAAGAGTATCTGGAAACCACTCATTGGAATAATAATAATAATAATAATAATAACAGATTTATCTGGTTTCAACGTATACAATATAAATATATATAAATATATATATCTATTTGGGATGAGGGATTCGCTGGAAATAAGGCAGTACCAATAGTAGTAGTAGATTTAACTATTAACTAAATAACAGTCTTCTTCGTTATACCTTTTGACAGCAGAACTCACACGTTCTTCCTTTCTTCTCTACCAAGCCTAGTTCCCTGCACAACTTGAGGGGAAAAAAAAAAGAAAAACAAAAAAAAAGTATAATACTACATTTTTTGACAAGGCACACAAAGTTACACGTTTACCCATATAAAAAAATAAATATCAAATAAAAATACATGTCTTAAGTTCCCATCACTATGAATACTTCAACATATGTATATATATATGTGTATATAGGCAAAGTCTAAACTAGTAGAATGGTTTTTTTTTTTGTTTTTGTTTTTCTTTGTTGGTTTTATTTTTACTTTTACAAAGCGTCATCATGCAAAAAGGAAAAAAAAAAAAAACATACAAACAACAAGAACAAAAAGAATCAAAATCTAAAAAATAGGAGACACCAGCAGAGCATCCCCATTCATTTGATTTCCTTTATGAGTTTCTTTTACTACTTCTCGTGTCAAGTATGCACGTATCATGGATTCACTTAAAAAAGTAGTCGATCGTTCGATAAGAGTTAAAAGGGCATCTCGTATACTTCCATTGCGTAAATTGTTTTCCTTCTCAAATGCCACCAATACATTTTTGTGAAGTGCCTCCAATGTCTTTAAACGAGCCGACTCTGAATGACGAAGAAAACAAGTGTCCACAACTTCCTGTAATTCTTTTAGTTCCGGCCACCATGGAGAAGAGGAATAACTGTGTAAAGAGAGAACAGCCGGTCGGGCGTGTTGATGACACTTCTCTTCACTTCTCTGAACCGCATGTCGTCTGTTCACAACGGAGTTCCGCACAAAAAGACTGCGATTCGACACCATCGGTATTCCACGCATACTCCCAGTGGCGTTGTATGTACTTGGCTCACGTGTGTTCATAATATCATTGTCTAAGAGATTACTCGCCACCATGAGGTTTACTTGGGCCACGTGATGAAGTTCCACACGGAACTGTACATATCGCACATGACGATAATATGAAAAGTACAGAAAAAGTGAATTCGCAATAGCAGCGAAGGGGAGTACAAAGAGTATATATAGTTTCTGCCGTACAGAGTGACTTACCGCACTGTCGGGGAATATCCCACCAGCCGTTGGTGGACCAAGCGACTCCCCCGGATGTTGTCTGGGATCATATATATACAGTGGGGGAGCTACGGTGATCAACAGCACAATGGCAAACACCACCGCATTCGTAATAAGAATCCATGGAAGCATCACAACTACTATATATATATATATATAACTCAAACTGTTAACGTTGAAACTAAATATCAATAATAATAATACTAATAATACTAATAATAGCAATACTGAAAAATAACACTAATAATAATAATACCAAGAAAAAAAAAACGCTAAAAGAAAAAAAAAAAAAAAATGCATCCCAAAGCCATAAAAAATTACCATCAGCATACAAAACAAAACAAGAAAAAAGAATTCCTTCTTATTTTTCCTTTTTTTTTCTCTTTCTTTTTAAATAATAACAACATTAGTAATAATAATAATATTGATGATGGTTAGTGGAGTATACACCCCACACACACACACACACACATTGGATAACTTATATACCCACTCTCTTCCCCCTTTTACACCGACTACACTGCCAACAGGATCTCTTCCTCAAAGGTTGGAAAGTGCACCCCATCACACGCGGAGGGCCGCAGTGTTGGAATAATTAACCAAAGAAGAAGTTTTACATTCACCACATTTTCTCCCTTCTTCAGTCTACGAATGAGTGGATCCCCACGAGTCTCAAGTAAAAACAAAACATTACGCCAACGACCAAGATCATATGGATTGCGAAATGGAATAGAACGACCACCGTACGAGAGATTTTCCTTAAATTGAACAATAGATCGTTCAATCTGGGTTTCATTACGAAAGACATGTAGTGTATTCCATCCCAAAAAGAAAATCATACAAATAAACATGGCAGCACAAAGAATTAACGTTAGCAGTAAAGGAAACATATGAATCTTCGGTTCACGATAAGATGGTGGTTTCAATTCATCCCTATTATTCTCATTAGAGAGACGCCAATAGGCTGGTAGAAGTACCACTACAACACCACAGCCAGTTCCTATAAATAGATATAATAAAAAGAGAAAAAAGTATCGATGATTCTCAGAATTCACACAATTATTAATCCATGGACAGTGATGATCCATCTTCGCTACACAACGATTACAAACACTACAGTGATGTTCACGTGGGGCTTTATATCGTTCACAAGTTTTACAAAATCGTGCCGGTTCATCTAATAATTGTTGTTGTTGACGTGGTGGTAATTGCGAGGCCTCACACGCCAATCGTTCTGTCTCTGCAGAAGAAATCAACGGCTCACGAAATACACCCGCCGCGACAAAATTAAAAAGAATACAAAACGAGAAGACACTGCAGATAAAACAAAGGCATATAAAGAGAATAGATCCCTTTTCTGCTACTAAAGGTATAGCGATACGAGCAACCGACAGAGTACAACCAATAATAAGTACAATACCAAAGGCAAAAGTAGGAGCTCCAATAGACCGCACCGCCGCAGACGTCCAGTAATCACATCTTTCATAAAAGCTCATAGGAAGACGTAGCGATAAACACAACTTTAATCACAGCACCCACACATTCAGAAATACTAATAACCAGACTCACTTAAATATATATACTCCTTCTTTTTTGATTCTTAAGGAGAAAATTTCAAAACAAAAATCCGCCCTTACAGTATGAATGTTTGTGTGTATGTATGTATGTATGTATATGAGAGTTTTTAGAGAGAGAAAAAAAAAAAAGAAAAAAAACAATCCAACACCATTAGAAAAACCAAAAAAAAAAACTCTTTTCTTTTTTCTCTCTCTCACCTTGTGATAAAATGGGTATATTCATCTATTTCTTCATTCGTCCCCATTCATATATAAAAAATAAAATATATATCGCTTAGTTAGACACACCATTGGACGAATGATGATGTTGATTGCCAGAAGCACTATTATTATTATTATCATTCTTCTTCTTACCACATTGGGAATTCTGTGAAATTCCATCTATTGTATTATTCTGTACACGTCTTGTTAACCGCTGCGATGGTGCACGTTTTGGTGGATTTCGTGATTTACGTTTTGCCTTTAGTTGACGAATATACTCTCGCATTCGTGTATACTTATGACGTCCAAGATCGAAGAGATATTCATAAGGGTAAATACCACCTGTATGTCCATCTGAAAAGACAATGCGAAGGGCATAATTACCTACAGGAATAACATCTTCTATAGTAATACCACGACGTCCATAAATAAGAGCATCAGACCCAATAACATCAGTACTTGGTGAATAGACTCGAAGTAACTCTGCAAGTAGACGTGTTCGATGATCCCCTAAACGTATTTTCTTTTGATTAATACCACTTGAGGTCATTTCACTTGATACTTGATTATATCCTGATGATGTTGATATTGTTTTTTCCTTTTCCTCTTTTTCCTCTTCTTCTTGTTCTTGTTCTTGTTGTTTCTCTACAGCAGCAAGAGCGGTAGCAGGCCAAACAAGTTCCATGTACATTTTATCTTTTGAGATAATCACCTGCGAAGGTACAAGGAGTGCCCGTTGTTGTCGTTGCAACTTCAACCGCTCTGCGAGATTCTGCTGCATTGGCCTTCGCCGCGGGTATGGTCTTCTTAACTCCGTAATCCGCTCTTCCCCCAGCGGCATCATGTGAGTTTCTGTTAAAGATGTTAACCGCCGAGTAACGGCCGTGGAGAGACGATCCACCAGTGAAGTAAATTCCCTCGACTGCAGGAATAGTGTAGAGGGAGATTGGCAGAGATGTGAGGAGGAGATAACAGGCAGCAGCCGCGGTAGTAAGAGAGATCGCATGGATGAAAATATATTTTGATGTATATATATATAAATAAATAAAAATAATAAAAAATAAATAAACTCAGGTGGTTTTGCTTTTTTTTTTTTTTTCTACCCACTTCAGAGTGATTGTTTTTTTTTTTTTTTCTTTCTCTGTTTTCCTTGCTGTACACTTCTGCTGATTCTCTCCTTACTATTTCAGCTAAATAAAGAACAACAACAACAACAGAAAGACAAAAAGGCCCATATTTCCTTTATATGGAAAAATAAACTTCTTGTCCTCCATGTTTAAACTCAACCATCCACCCATCATCTCAGTAAACAAAAGTATATTAAGCTGCAGAGAAGGAGCAGCATTTATAAATTCTAACAAGTCAGTTCTATTCCCATTCCATCATCGCCGTTTTTTTTTTCTTCTTTACTTTTTTGTGAACAAACAACTCATAAACATCAAATCCACACGTATTACAAACAAAAACAAAAAAAACAGAAAACAGTGTAATAAATAAAATAAATAAAATAAATAACGAAGAAATACACCACAAAATAACAAAAAATGTAGAGATATATCATGTCCCTCGCAGCTTCCATGTACGTTCCTTCAAACCAAGAACTCGCTTTGGATATTGTACCGCGTCTTCTTCTGAAGTTCCCCAAAGTCGACGCCGTCTCATTTGATAATCATACCAGCGATCTCCCATCCACTGCGGCACAGTGTAGTAAAGAGAACGAAAAACTGTACGCGGCAGCCAACGATCGAGTTTCATCCCCACACGACACACCGCTTCGTATTTCACAGAGATAAGAATATCAAGATCCTCCTCCTTCTCCGCATTAAACAACGACCCAGTGGAAGAAGAAGAAGAAGAAGCGGAAGGAAATAAACTACTATCATTACTATTATTATTGTGTGTATGATTAAACTTCCCTCTTCTTCCATTCCGCTCACGATTTAAGAAAGTAGTCGTCTTTGACGGTACTTTTTCAATCAACATGAGACCTTCAGGAGACGTTGTGAGCTGCGGAAAGTGACGACGAACCTCACGCCACTCAATAGAGTCAAAACTACAGAAGAGCATTTTGTTTGCCGTTAGTTTTGCCTCGTCTGTATCGTGCGATAAGTTGAGAAGACTAAAATAGGAGAAATTCCTCTCCAACACGTACTGCACACGTGCCTGACAGAGAAGACAGTGACCATCAAAGACTACAAGATTGCGCGGAAGTTTGCGCAGGAGACTTTTATATGCAGGACCTCGATAACGTCCTGCCATTACGCTAGAGTTAATCAGTAAAAAGAGAAGAGAATATACATATTATACATACACATATATACATATATACAATAATAATAATAAACTACAATTAAAAGAAGGAGAAAAAGAATCATCAAGCAAACACAAATATTTCTTTCGTTTTCAAAGAAAAAAAGTAATAATAACAATAATACCACTAATAGTAGTAGTATAAATCCGAGAAAACAGCAAAAAAAAAGACAAGCACAAAAGAAAAGCCCCACAAAACGGCAGGAGGAGAGAGTGGAAGAGAAGGGAAGAAAGTCATAAAAACTACACACCCTCACTGCCTCTTGTAATGAAGTGAATTTGGAGAAGAAACAAAATAAGAAAAGAAAAAAAAAAAAAAAAAAACCACAAAATACCACCTGAATGAAAAATGGCAGAAAACCACAACAAATTTTCCATAATAATAAATTTCTTTTTTTTTTTTTCTTTTTCTTTTTTTTTTTTCTTTTTTCCTCCCGAAGGATTGCTATCCCAAGAAAAGAACGATTGCATATCTTCTACCCAATCAGCAAAAGTCTCTGAGTTTGTTTTCCATTTAAAATAATATAGATAAGTAAAAAGAAAAAAAAAAAAAAGGAATAAGCGAAAAAAAAGAAAAAAAAAAAAGGAAATAATGATAAGAGGAAATGGAAATGGAAATGGCATTCCAAGAAATACAATTTAATGTTAGTGTAGAACACATAAACACAGTTCAAACACATATATTAAAAATATAAATAAAAAGAAAACAGCAGTTCCGTTCCTCAAGACGTGCCCGATCAACGGTGCTCTCTCTTCTTACAATTTTCACCAATATCTCGTTTACACCAACCTTTTCCTCTCCCCTCCTTTTCTTTCCCTTTCCCTTTCTCTCTTTAAATCGTTTTTTTTCTTCTTTTTTTTTTCTTTTTTTTTCTTTCGTTTAATGTTTATATGCTGCTTTGTTTCGTTCATAGTGCTCCATCACTTCCCTTTGCGCTTCCTGCATCTCTGGGGTTTTCTCTTTATACACATCATCGTGCATGGTGTCTACTGGCCATTTGGGAATATTTTCCTGTCGACGCAACTCCTGCAGTGTTTCTTTTCGCACTTGTTGTGATAATTGTTTTGTCTGTTCCGCACTCCACCAGGATTTACGCACCAAATACTTCTCAAACCGTGCGAGTGGTGAAAATATCTCTGCAAAGCGTTCCTTTTCATCATCCAAACGGTAGGCGGCGCTATCATCGGAAGTGGAATGATGAGAAACACGATATGTAATCATTTCCAGCAGCACCGGTGTATTTTCTCTGAGTATCATCTCACGAGATCGACGAACGGCCTGCAGAACGGCTAAAATATCATGTCCATCTATACGTGCAGAGGGAACACCATTACCAACTCCACGTGCTAAAATTCCATCACCCTTGTATTGTGTAGGAGTAGGAGTTGAAATAGCGAAACCGTTATTACGGGCAATAAAAAGAGTTTGTGATCCACGAACAGCGGCAAAGTTAACGCCAGCGTAAAAGTCACCTTCACTAGCAGCACCATCACCAAAGAAAACAGCAGCAATACGTTTTTTATTCTCATCCGTCTCTCGTTCGTTTTCAAGACGAAAGGCATACCCAGCTCCAGCAGCATGAGGTATTTGAGTCGCAACAGTTGAACCTATTACATGTACATTAAGTTTACGTGAACCATAATGAATAGGCATTTGACGCCCCTTTAATTCACATTCTATATTTCCCATACATTGAGCCACCACTTCTTGAATGGTATACCCTCGATATGTTAAGAGAGCTCCTTCACGGTATTGAAGAAACACCTCATCCTGTGGCTGTAAACCGGCAGCAGATCCTACGATAGATGCTTCTTCTCCATAGCTGGTCATATAAAAAGAGATGCGACCTTGTCGTTGAGCTTCTAATAAAATACCATCAATTGTGTGATGTCGTACCATCGCCTCCATCATTTTTACCATAAACTCACGTGATACCTTCGGTTCCTCCTTTGGGTTCACAACATTTCCATCAAGATCCAAGACGTGATAGAGTGGAGTAGAAGTGGCTGGTTTTCCATGGAATTTAAGTTCAGTCGTTGTTGGATTACTCCCAAAATCCAAATTCCACACTTTTTGCCCTTGAATAAGAGCTTCCTGGAGTAAACCACGTACAAGTAGAGAGACTCGAAACATCGTATATTATCTTTTTTCTTTTCCTTTTCTTTAATATTCTCCTTGTTTGTTTGCTTGCTTACTTGTTTCTTTCTTTTTCTTTCTTTCTTTTTGTTATTATATAGGCTTCCACAAGAGAGAAAAAAAAAAAAATGAATCCAAACCCCCCGGTTATGACGCGGTTTATGATTGCTGTTCAATATAAATCGTAAAAATAAAAGAAAAAAACAAAGGAAAAAAAAAGAAAAAAAAAAAAAAAAAAAAAAAAAACAACAAGACTGTAAAAACCACCGCTAGCACTAACAAATAAAACAAGAAACATATAAATCGTGAACATTANTTTCAGTTAGAAAACTAAAAAAATAAAATAAAACAAGAAACATATAAATCGTGAACATTAGGAGAAACAACTACCAACAACTACAAAGCTCCGCAAGAAAAAAAAAAAAAAAGAAAGAAAGAAAATGGAAAGAGAGAGAAAGAACTTCTTTCAGACTTCTCCCTCTTTTTCTTCTTCCTTTACAAACACAGCTAACATTGGATGACTGCAACCAGACCTGTAAATAAGGTTATTCTTTACATCAAAATCAACAGAAAAAAAAAGAGAAGAATGAAATGCATTTCATTCCCTGTTTTTTTTTTCTTTATTATTTGTGTGTTCATCCTTCTCTCATCTTCCTCTCCTTTCCAATTACGCATACACTATAATTCATTCATGGGCATCAAGCCTCTCTCTTTGTTTTTTGTTTTTGTTTTGTTTTTTTTGAGGTGGGTTTCTCTGCCCTTTCTTCATCACTTCTTTTTTTTCTTTTTCTTTTCTTTTTCTTTTTCTTTGGCAAGTTCACCCAAACAAGATACAAGTAACTCTCTACGCTTCTGTCAAGTCATCATCGTAGTAGAGGTGAATAGCCGGAATGTAATGATCTGCGTTTAGGCCCAACGACTCAAATTCCGCTGATTCATCCACAACACCATTTTCATCCAGTGTTTTAGTCATATCAAGATCCCGTCCTTCCGGGTCGTGGCGACGCCAAGTGTAACTGAGTGCATGTGCATTAATGCCAAGATACCGCGTGGCCACAATTTCATTCAATGTCTCCTCTGCACAAACCTCTAGAGTGTGTTCATGGCCGTTAAGTGTATTCACAATGCGTATTCGGCGTGTTTTGCTGGTGAGTCTTCCCACGATAAAGTGTTCATCCTGCCACCATGGCACCTCATAGCTGAGATCTATACAGCTATCTGGTAAGAGTGTGGGGATATGTGCAAATCGACCATAAGGCTGTGCATATGTGCGAAATCCTGTTTCTGGATCAATACAAGTTTTCAAGTCTTTTGTCTCTTTATCAAACCAGTGGGAGATGTCTGTGCCGGCAACACGAATGAGCGGCTGTACGAGACTAGCGAAACGAGTGCCTTGATAGTGTTGTATGAGCGGTGTTAAGTCTAACACCATTCCATTTACAGACACAAAGGCATCATCTTCGAAAGAGTGAACGCGGACCTCACGTGGAGTGTAATAGCGTAATCCTTTATCACTCATTGATTATTCTCTTCTATCTCAAGTTCCACCCTACGTTTCTTTCTCTCTTTTTCTATATATATATATATATATATATATACGTAGAATATTACACACTAATGTAACGGTACACTTCTTCTTTCTCTCTCACCTAATATGAGCTTGTGATGGTGTGTCCGTTGAGATACCTGCGTGGTAAATGAAGACGACGCCTTAATCTATACTTTTTTTCTTCTTCTTCTTCTTTTAAACCTCTTTGTCTTTCCTTCAAGACTACTCTCGTTCTTTCTTGTCCTTTTATCTTTTTTATTTTTTTTTTATCTTTTTTTCTGTATGCGTAAGTATTGGACTGGGTGGCAAGTAGCTTTTGCTACTACTACTACCGTTTCCCTTCACCACTATACTTATAAAAGACACTCACACACAGAAAATAAAAAAGAAACAGAGAGGAGAACGACTCCCGACACTGCTTACTTTTGGTTAAAGTGATGGTATGTAGGTATGTATGTGTAGAAACAGGGTGATAATACACATGTTTAAAAAGAAAAAAAAAAGCATAAGAAAAGAATAAAAGAAAAAAAAGGAATAATAAGCAAAGTAATATCATCAAATCAGAATAAAAATAAAGAGAAAAAAAAAAAAAATACCAAAGAAAAAAAAAAAAAAA